ACCAGCTTGGCTTGAACTCACAGAGATCTGACTGCCTCTGCCTCTGCCTCTGCCTCTGAGTGCTAGAATTAAAGGCCGGCGCCACCACCTGGCCCATGAAAGGGATTAAGTAGGTACTGCTCTAAAGAAAGTAACACAAATGACCAGTCAGCTCGGTGTCACTCCCTCAGGAAATTGCAGAGCAATGCCACTCTACACCACTGAGTCTGGGAGTCCACCCAAAATTAAGTGTAGAATTACAACTACCCACTAATTCTACCCTAGGAAGATAGTCCCAAAGTGGGGGAAAAACATATCCTACCACACAAACCTGAACCTGCATACTCACAGGTGCATGTGCTTAGCAGTCGAAAACACAGACAACCTACAAGTGTGAAGTGTGCCTACTGATAAATGTCAGACAGACAAAACACGGCACATCCATACAGCAAAGTGTGACTCAGCAATAAAGAGGAGTGGGCTACTTAATTATGTCACAGCATGAATGAAATTTGAAAACATATTAGGAGAAAGCAGGCACACACAAAAGACCACATACTGTGTGGTTCTGTTGATATGAAAATGCACAAACTAGGCAAATCTATGGAGACAGAAAGTCGGTTGGTGTTTGCTAGTGGTTGGAGGGAAGAATGAGAAATGACTGGTGAGGGACTGGGTGGTTGGTGTGTGTGTGTGTGTGTGTGTGTGTGTGTGTGTGTGGGTGTCATTCACACACACACACGTATGTACTGCAGTTCCAGGTATGGGACTCAAAGCCTCTGAGACATGTTAGGCAGTGGCACCCTCAGCCTAAACTGTGTATGTTTAAAGGGTGACTGTTATGGCATGTGAATTACAGTTCAAAATATTTACAAAGCAATCTTTAATAACTTGCCATGTTTAATCACTTTTTTAAAAAAGATTTTATTATATATACAGTATTCTGCCTGCATGTATGCCTGCTGGCCAGAAGAGGGCACCAGATGTCATTACAGATGGTTGTGAGCCACCATGCGGCTGCTAGGAATTGAACTCAGGTCCTCTGGAAGAGCAGCCTTGACCACTGAGCCACCTCTCCAGCCCCTTTAATCATGTTTACCACACTCATTTTCTCATGCTCCGTGAGATGAGGGTACAGATCACAATTAGTGATGTCTTCACGTCTGTGAAGCACATCTGTATCATAATTCAAAAAACGAATGTAGGTCCAGAATACAGAATTGTGGTACAGCCACTTAAATATATTCATCAGCGACTGTTATCTTTTTAATTGATTCCTTACTTTTATTTGGTTACATTTAGTTCCCTAGACGCTTTGGATAATTTTTGCAATTTTAGGCTTTTTTTTTTTTTTTTTTTTTTGAGACAGGGTTTCTTTGTGTAGCCCTGGCTGTCCTGGAACTCTGTCTATAGACCAGGCTGGCCACCCCCAGCTCACAGAGATCCACCTGCCTCTGCACCTACCCCCAACTCCTGTGCTGGGATTAAAGGCTTACTATTCCTATTTTACAGTGGCCATTTGAAGTAGGATGGTGAGAGCAGGCAGTTGTCCAGATAACACGGTGGTCTTGTGGTAAACACGGGTGTTGAGTCCTGCAGGCTGAGATTCGTCCACATGTAAGTTGATGCCATTCCATCCCCCGTGTAAAGCTTCCTCTCTCTTCTCTCCAAGAAGCAGAAGCTTGTGAAGCAGCTGCCTCTAAGCTCCATCTGCTTAGAGACAGATTCGCCTGCTCTGGGACCAGAAAGACAGGTAAGCAGATCTCTGGTGTATGGGGTGCAGATGTGTCTTTTTTGGGGGCTGTTCTGGTTTAGCAGGACTCGTGGCAGTACCCTAATGCTAAGTTGAGGCCATGTTTCCTGAAGTCTTCCTTCCTTCCTTCCTTCCTTCCTTCCTTCCTTCCTTCCTTCTTCCCTCCCTTCCTTCCTTCTTTCCTTCCTTCCTTCCTTCCTTTCTTCCTTTTCTTTTACTTTCTTTTTTTTTTGTTGTTGTTGTTGTTGTTTTTGTGTTTTGGTTTGGTTTTGGTTTTTCAAGACAGGGTTTCTCTGTGTAACAGCCCTGGCTGGCTGTCCTGGAACTCACTTTGTAGACCAGGCTGGTCATGAACTCACTGGAATTTCCCTCCTCTGCCTCTGCCTCCCACGTGCTGGGCTTAAAGGCGTGCGCCACCCCCACCCAGCTTCAAGTGCTGGTGTTAAAGCCACCATGCCCAGCTTCCTTGGCTGTTCAGAATATCTTCTTTCCTGTGAACAGGATACTGTCTCACAGATGTTAATGAGACACTCCAGGAAGGGAATGAAACCTCATCTATGAAAAGCACTAGGTTTAAGGTAGTGTGTCCTTCCAGGTCACTCAACCCATGTACAGGCATGCATATGTACACATGTACACACACTATACAGGCATGCATATGTACACAGGTACACACACTATACAGGCATGCATATGTACACAGGTACACACACTATACAGGCATGCATATGTACACAGGTACACACACTATACAGGCATGCATATGTACACATGTACACACACTATATAGGCATTCATATGTACACATGTACACACACTATACAGGCATGCATATGTACACATGTACACACTGTTTCGTATCTCTGTCAGGAATACATACTATGGATGTGCTTTTCCTCAGGGTTTAATAACCACATAATGTTCCACTGTTAAAACTTCATATTAGGGACCGGAGAGATGGCTTTGGGGTTATGAGCATTGGCTGTTCTTCCAGAGGACCTGAGTTCTATTCCCAGTACCCACATAATGGCTCACACCCATTTGTAATTCCAATTTCAGAGAACCAATGCCCTCTCCTGGCATGTGGTAGACACACACATGTAGGCAAAATGCTCATGCATAAGACAATAAAGTTGTCATAAAAACCTTGGTATTAGTCATAAATATACATATGTGCACATATGTACACAGTGTGTGTTTTAATTTTCTGAGACACAGTCTCATGTAAGCAGTCTGACCTCAGAGTCAATGTGTAGCCAGGTTAGGCCTTAAAGTCAGGATCCCCTCCTGGTTCTACCTCCCAGCTGCTGGGGAGGTAGTGTAAGTCCCTACACTCAGCCAGGCTGTAATTTAAAACCATGATAAACAAAAAGCCTTCAATGTGGATCTTGACATAATTCTGATTTTTTTTTAGCCTGTATTATCAAGAATTTTTTTTTACTTAATAATTTTATTCCTCTAATTATTACCCCAAGTATCACTTATTAATAATTTCAGGAATGTTTTTCACTAAGTCTAAATGTTATTGATTGCAGAAATAGTTTTTTGGTTTTTTTGTTTTTGTTTTTGTTTTTGGTCATTAAGACATACCACTGAGTGTAAGCAAAATGAGTATTTATTTCACAGGTATTAAAAGTCAGTGAGATGGCAGAACCTACCTGAGCAGTCTTTCCAGTCCTTGGGGCATTTTAGATCACATGGGCAGGTGGCCAACCAGAGTGCAGTGGCCTTTCCCAGCACTCACATCTACAAAAACAAAGGATGGCTAACCCTTCAGACAGGCTGCTGTCCCTGGGTTCAGGCATAGACTGCTTCGTATGCTGGGTGCTCAGGGCTTCAACTGCAAATACCTCTAGGTTCTTTTCTAAGCAGCACAGACCTAGAGCCAGCATTGTGACCATACCCTGCCAAGTTCACCGACCCCCATTTAAAGAAGCATTAATAAAGAAATGTCAGTTCCTTCAGCGTAGACAAGGAGTGCATCATTCTTGTTTGTGTGTCTTAGCTACAGTCTCCAGGGATCTGTAGACTCAGAGATCAGCTCTGTTCTCTTTCAGACACGGAACGAACCCTGCAACATTTCCATTTCAGCAGAATTCATTGCCCAAGTGAAAGGGATCTCAGTGGAAGAAGTCCGAGAAGTGACGACACAGAATGCATTGAAACTGTTTCCCAAGCTGCAGTACCTGCTCCAGAAATAGCTTCAAAACCACCCACTACACAGCCAGGGCAGCTCAGGGCAGCACTGAGGAAAACAAGTGTTTGAATGAACAATGGTCTGAAATGAAGAGGCCATTTTATATGGACAGCAGTCATAGTCTTACAGAAACATTTCCCTTAAAAACAAATCCTGGGCTGAGAGATGGCTCAGCCACTAGGAGCACTCAGTTGCTGCTCTTCCAGAGGACGCGCAGTGCCAGCACCCACGCTGGGTGACTTGTAGCTGCCCTCAACTCCAGAAGATGCAGCCCCCCTCTTCTGGCCTCCTCTGCCACTAGCACACAGGTGGCATACCCTACACACACACCTAAACATGAACAAAAATAATAAAAATAATGATTTCTAAAAATGCTGTTTTTAAAAAAGAGAGGTTCAGCTTTGGCTACTGAAACTCTGGGTTCCAAGTGTCAATTAGCAGAGTCCTGGAGCAGACTGGAAAATACCACAGACACACTAGCTTCTGGAGTGATTGCCCATTTGAGGGGAGAAAGCCTCAAGGGACCCCTCAACCCTGCTTTCCCCCACTTAACAAGCTTATAGAAGATGTTCCAGGGATTTTTGTCTTTGAATGCTTAATAATTAGTGTGCGTATGGCAGAGTTCGGTATACTTGAGATGTGGTGGTCGGGTGAACCTCTGGGCATGATGTCCAAACTAAAGTGTGTGGGTAAGAAGGAACCAGGTCAGAGTTGTACAGGGGAGGGGCCTTTTCCAGAAGAAACAGCAGTTGTGAGAGCACTGAGATATCCACCTCCCCGCTTAAAGAGACAAACTTCACTATGTGGCCTGGACTCAGTAAGCCGTTGTACCTGAGCCTCATGCCACAGCACCTGGCCAGTAAAGGCGTACCTTCGAAGAAGTGAGCAGGCCTCTGTGATGCGGGAGGGAGATGTTTGCTGGTTTCACTGATGGAGAAGATAACAGTAGGAGAGAGACTGGTCCAGCTTGTCCATACACCTGTTCTTGAAATTAGGAAGCCTGTCATCTTGTGCTTAAGTGAAACAGTTAGGGCACAATGATCTGGCCCAGGATAATAGGTTTGATCAGGGTGATGGCAGCCATTGTGATTTATACTATCTCTGGGATCTTGGTGAAGACATTTTTAAGACTGAAATGTTAGAACCCATCTGCCACTGGGTCACATTGCCCACGGCAGTCCTTTCCCGCTCACAGACACCACAGCTCCTCAGAGAACACCGTGAACCTCTAGCTAACAGACTTCCAAGTTCCAGGATCTCTCATCTGGGGAAGTGAGTTTACATCAAAGAGTATTGGTTGCCACTCATCCTGCTCCCCACCCTCTCCTACCTCCTGCCTTCCAATCAGAGCTGGCTACAGGCTTGTGCTGTGAAACCTCCACTGTCCTCAGAGATAAGCAGAGACCTCTACTTCTGCCATGGGGGAGGGGCTAGTCCTCTCTTCAGCACTCCCTATGTTATCTCAACTTTCCTCAGAGTCTCTGCCATGCTGTTGTCTGTCTGTGACATTAATCACCCTTTTGTTAATAACACAAGTCTCTCCCAATGTCCCCATGAGCCCCCATCCAAGACCTTTCATTATTCTAAAGAGATACCTGTACCCCTCCTTTTGGCTGGCTATCAGAATATTAAAACAACAAACCTCAAGGAATTGGAACTTCCCAGAAATCTCAAGCTTATATAAAAGTGGCTTCAATCCGGTGCCAGCTGGAGGAAACACATCTCCCCAGAAGAGATCAGACAGGTCTGACAACTTAACAGTCATCTTACAGGACAGCCCAGAGCCTGCACAGTGGTGTGTCGATGATGGCTGAGAATGCACCTCCACCAGGACGATTTAGACATACATTTCCCCCTCTGTTTAACTCTCAGCCCTATGCACATATCCCCACGATGGCCTCCTGATTCCCTCCCAGTGTGGCCACAGTAAATTGTTTTTTTCATTCCTGTCCCCCAACCCCAACCCCCTGTAAGCTGGGCTGGCCTGAAACTCACTACATACACCAACCAGACTGGCCTTGAACTAACAGACATTTGCCCCTGCCTGCTGAGTGCCAAGATTAAAGGTGTGTGCCACCACCCATCCTAGGAACAATGTCTGAGGTCCAGACTGCTCTGTAACCAGTATCAGGCTCACGGAGGAGGACGAGCCTACAAAGGAGGTCATGATATGAAAGAGTGTTTCCTGAAAAACCTCCAAGAGAAAAGTGCAGTCTCTGGTGTTGGTTCCTAAGTGGAGTCTCTTGTGCTCAAGGAAAGTACAGACTTGGGTAAGGGCTTTTATGTCTGACCCAGGCCCTTCTTGTTCGGAAGCCTACTTAGATGGTCGGTCTGGTTGGTTTTGATTGGCCTCTAGCTCTGCCACCCCATCTCTCTGGGCACACTGCAGTGCTGAGAAAGCACGAGGAAGTCTGTGGGAGCTTAGAGAGGAGGCCTCAGCTGCCTATGGCTGCAGTAACAATGCTGCAACACTAATGTTCTTCCCAGAACACTGGGGAAGCAGCAGGAATCATGTGTGCACATTAGTGAGCTCAGCTGTGGCCCTGCAGGAAGCCAGGGCAGAAAAGGAAAGCCTGTTATGTGCTGACTGAGGGAACATGCCACTGATGGATAGGAAGGAAGTGTTCCTGAAGGTGACAGGACAGTGGGGTCAGAGTCCAGCACGCCTGTATGTCTGCGTTTCTGGCTTTAGCTTAAGACTGCTCTAGGATACCCAGGGCAAAGTAGAAAGAGTTCATGGGAAGGGCTGAAGGGAAGATGTTATGGAGGAGGTGACATTTAAACCACAGCGGGGAGGGAGCTCAGAGACAAAGCAGGTTCAGAGAACCGCAACCAGTTCTACCAAGACAGAGGCACACCTCCAGGAGAGGCTGCAACTACTGTGTATAACCTGGCATTTGTTGCTCTGCGCCCGTTCCTAAAGAATACTGTGCCTTGTCATCTCTAATTGGGCTGCTTAAGGTACAAACTCTAGATCAGATCTCTTGTTTCTGCCCAGGCTAGGAGCAGAGGCTCTGATAGACTTGGTACCAGGTGATCTCAGAGGACAGAGAGAAAGTCTCCCTTCTTATAGGCAGAGAGAGGCGGGGTTGTTTATGCTCAGTGGGGATCCTCAGCTGTGCAGCCCAAACCTGTGTGTATCTACCTGCCAGCATTGCCTAGCCCTGAGGCAAGAGAATCAGCTATAGCTGGTGTTTTCTGGCTGTGAACCAAGAGTTTCATCTCTTTTGTCAATGCCAATGCTCACAAAAGTAGGAGGCCACCCTTCAAGGTTCTTGCAACTAGCTATGTACTGTTGGGAAGGGAGAACTTAGCTCTAGTCTTATTTTATTACACATCCCCAGCCTTTTTAGGGACAAGGTCCTGAGATGTAGCCCAGGCCGGCCTGGAATTCACTGTCCTCCTGAGTGCTGAGGTTACAGGAGTTCACTGTGGCACCAGGCCAGTTTCTTTTATAGGTAGCATTTCTAAATAATTCACAGACATTGGAGACTGATGGAAGAGAATTTATTTGTACGTCTCTAGACTTGTACTTTATCCAAATATGTCATTATCTGAAAGACAAAAAAAATACATTTATTGGGCTGGTGAGAGGACTCAGCCATTAAAGGCTAGGCTCCAAACAAAACATCAAAAAGAAATACATTTCAGTACTCTATTTTAGTTTTTAGAATAGCCTGAAGGGCAGAGAGGATCATGACTCTTTCACTTCCTTGTTTTTGTGCTGGGATCAATTGTGGACATGGCATGTTTGAAACACAGAGAGGAGAGACAGAGAGGAAGGCAGGGAGCTGTGCCGAGCTCCTGAGGTTGGAGGCAGCTTGACACGTCCAGAAGAGGAAGAAAGCAAATGGAGGAGGCCAGGGTGAGCGCAGGAGACCTGCGCCTGGGACCGTTGAAGGAGAACCGTGTGGCACAGGGTGGGAATACGGGCTTTATCCTCAGTGTGACAGGAAACCACAGATGAGTTCTATGTAGCAGGTAGCAGGTTCTGAACGCTTCCCTGGGACTGTCCTGTGAAGTAAATGCAGGAGCAGAGAGGCTACAAACTGGATAGCCACGGGGCCCCTGATAAACTTCTCTAATTGTAGGTTGGGCCAGTGCGGTGGCAGGTTCAGATTCAGGATTGACTTTGGGGGAGGATTTGACAGTGCTCGCTGGCTCGCTCACTCACTGGATGTGGAGTGTGAGGGCCAGAGTTCCCCTTTGGCTACTTTCCCAGATGAGGAAGGGAAGGCTGGTGTGAAGTGATGTGGCTGATAACAGGAACTTTGTCTCATCGACACTAAACTGCAGGTGACTTCAAGTGAGTGGCAGTGTGAGAGGGTGTGATAGGTCGTGTCCATGGCTGAAGTCAGAAATCATGAGGTGGGGTCATCAGAAAAGAGATAAGATGTGATCCTCTGACAGCTGTTTGAATGGGACATCTAGGGGAAGTGGTCTTGCCCGAAGGAGAAGAGCTCTGAACCGTCATGGCTTTGCTCTCCTGCTCTCTGCTTTGTGCTCCAGGTTCAGCTGCCACGCCTGCCTGCCGCCCTCCACCCAGACACTGTGGACACCCCCCCTCTGGAGCCGTACCTCAAACTGAGCTCTTCCTTCTCTGAGGTGCCTTGGTCATAGTGTCCTATTACACTGACAGACAGTGATCTGCACAGTCCACCAGCTGCCTGCATGAGGAGCCCAAGAGGACCACAAGGGCTGCTGTTGTACCCCTCACCCTTCCAACATCCAGGGTAGGAGAGACTGTCTTCCGAAGACAGGCTGCCACTTTGTAGCAAGTGATATATTTATAATCTACCAAATTAATATAACCTACTAAATTAACACTTTCATGAAACCCTAATGCCCCAGCTCCTAATTTACCAGACGGCTTTCTCTGCACCTCTGGCCCTCAGGGCTCCTCCTTTGTTCTCAGCAGAGAGGAGAGCAGCAGACGTCAAGCTCTGCTCTGGGTAATGAATGGTTGCTTGAGTTCTTTTTAGTGACTTTCTCCAGTGAAGGCCTGTCTTTTCAATAAGCCAACCTTTTTTATCCACATCCTATTTCTCAAGTTGGTAGAAACTCAAATCACAGGCAAAGGCTCTCAAAATGTGAAAGACTTAATGCTTGGGGGAGGGTTACTGGTTTACAGTTTTGACACTGTTAATGTTGGTTGTGGCATTAGATATGTTAGACTCTGCGTTGTATGAAGTCATGTATGCTCCTCTAAAAGATGGACTTTCCACCATTAAAGTGCTGAGAACTGACATACTGTTGTTCTGAATAAGTCCAGCATAATGAAGAGCATTCATTGTGTAAAGGTGATTGAGTTTTGTTTGTTTTTTTTTAAAAAAGCAATACAATCATTACAGACAGCCTCAAATCACAACCCAGTGTCTGGGTTTTCTGTG